CCACGCCCTCATCAAACCCTAGGACCGCCCCTTTAGAGAACAGGAATGCAAGTAAAATTTGGGAGGGGCTATTTCCGGTGTGGGAGGGGCTATTTCCGGTGCGGCCGGCCCGGAAAAAGGTGCCGGAACGCGGTTCCGCCGCGTTCCGGCTGAAAAAAAGCCCTGATTATTATTATTATTATTATTATTATTATTATTAAAATAATATAGAACGAGTCCTCAACTTACGACAACTTACGTCTTTTTCCAAACAGGCATTTGTTAGAAGTTGTTTCCTTGTCAAAACAGCTTTCTAAAAACCTTTTCTTTCTCTGTTATCTTTGAGGCTGCCTTTTCTCCAATTAGAATCCCTGCACGAGGACCCGACCATCTTAAAAATTATATAATTCAAAAGAATATTATTCTGCTTCTTCACCAGTTCCAGCCATCCGTTTCTTGAGTGCTGATGGGGAGGGGAAGGATTTATAATTTATAATTCCTGCTGTCGTCACCTTAATGTCGCATTAATTCCGCTGTCACATTAATGCAGAAGGATCGTTTCTAATGCATATTTTCATGGAATTCAGAATGTGTCAAAGCTAATTGGTTTTGATAGCACGCTCCTGCTTATAACCAGCTGCGGGCGCTTTCTTTTAATATTTATATGTATTTTTTTTTGTATGCAGGGCCTGTTCTCCAGTTGAATGCGGAAGAAATCACGGAGGACGTCGCCAATATGTGGCGAACCATGTACAAATTGACAAAGACCTTTATCGATCTTCCTGGCCCCAAGCGGATGGCAGAGAACGTGAAATATAAAATTGACAAATTCAAACAACATCTGCCCGTCCTTTCAATTGCCTGCAATCATGGGATGAAAGACCGACATTGGGAACAGGTTGGCTGATCTGAACAATATGCGACATGCTCAATTGTTAAGGTTGTGTGTGTTGGTTGCAAGCTGTCAGCCCTCCGAGGTAGGCCCAGTTCAAGAAACAGATGACACCCTAGATCGAAGGCTACTTTTATTAGAATGACTAGAAAACAGGTAGCCGGACTAATAATGAGGGTGAAGATTCATTCTCTGAGTTTGTGGGTTGGTTTCCAGACGTTTTGTTGCCAGGCTAAGTAACATCATCAGTGGAGTTTAGGGAATGTCATTGTCAGCGTTCTTCTATTTGTAACAGCTTTGTATGGTCAACATACATTAAAAGTTCGATTAGGGTTTGTCACTTGTCATTTAAAGCGACAGTAAAGTTTCTATTCTACTCTACTCTACTCTACTCTACTCTACTCTACCCTACTGTACTCTACTCTACTCTATTCTACTCTATTTCCCCATCCATAATGTTCCTGCTATTCTATTCTATTCTATTCTATTCTATTCTATTCTATTCTATTCTATTCTATTCTATTCTATTCTACTCTACTCTACCCTACCCTACCCTACCCTACCCTACTCTACTCTATTCTATTTCCCCATCCATAATGTTCCTTCTACTCTACTCTACTCTATACTCTACTGTACTCTACTGTACTCTACTGTACTGTACTCTACTGTACTGTACTGTACTCTACTCTACTCTACTCTACTCTACTGTATTCTACTCTACTGTATTCTAATTCTATTCTATTCTATTCTATTCTATTCTATTCTATTCTATTCTATTCTATTCTATTCTATTCTAATTATTTTCTAACAACCCTGAAGACAGAGCAGTGCCATTATTCCCATATAATTTAGGATTTTCATCCATTTCTCCTGACGGCCTCTGTAATGCTTATCCCCCTTCTGATTTCCAGATCAGTGAGATTGTGGGCTATGAGATACGGCCAGATGAAACTACTTCGTTGATGAACATGTTGGAATATGGACTATCGAAATATATTGACAAGTAAGGAAGACCCCCCCCCAAATCCTTTGTCCTTGTTTGCTGAAACCAAAGACCAAATATGAACCAAACCACTGGTTCACATTTATGACATTTACAGAGTCCCAGGGTCACGCGATCCCCTTTGGCGACTTTCTGACAAGTGAAATCAATGGAGAAGCCGGATTCACTTAATAGCTGTGTTACTAATGCAACAGCTGCAGGGATTCACTTAACAACACTGGCAAGCCAGGTTGTAAAATGGAGCAAAGCTCACTTAACAACTGTCTTGCTTAGCAACAGAGAGCTACCTGTACAGGAAAAGGCAATAAATATATTTTCCTGATTGCATTTTGCAAAATGTTCCCCTTCTTCTCTTTTAGCGGCCCGAGCATCTGTCTTCCTGGATAACGGGGCTAAGCTGCGAAGCCAAAGCAGAGAACGTTGGATGTTCTTTTTCTTTCCTTCCAGGAGTATCAGGTGCCAACCTGGCTAATTTTCTCCTTTCCATTCTAGAATTGAGCCAATCGGCGCAGCTGCCAGTAAAGAATATTCCTTAGAGAAAAACATGGAAAAGATGAAATCGGAATGGGTCAACATCCGCTTCACTTTTGTGAAATATAGGGATACGGTCAGTACGTTTGTTTGTATGCTTGTTTTGTCATTGAATTCTGTTTTGATCTGACTCATGTTTTTCATGGAAGGCGTTGACTTCCTTGGACTCTGCTCCTGATCTGGCCATACAGCAGTGGCCACAATTGTGAAAAACCTTTTGGGAAAAGTGTACAGTAGAAATGCCACCTTTGGTTAAGTTTCCACCAATTTTTCTTAGACAGGAAGCATAGTAGATTATTAATGTAACGCATCTGTTCTCAAGAAGAGTATCCTTTGGACGTGTGGACTCAACTTTCAGAATTCCGCAGCCATCATGGCTCTTGAAGTCTACATCTGCAGGATGATGGATCCAATAGTTATATCGAGGAGTGAAAAAAGAGGTTTTAAAATCCTAGAAATTGAGCATTAAAAATAATTTCCCTGCAACCTACCGTTTTTCTTGCAGGATACCAGCATCCTTTCGGCCATCGATGACATTCAACTTTTGCTGGATGACCACATCATCAAGACGCAGACCATGTGTGGCTCTCCGTTTATCAAGCCGATCGAAGCAGAATGTCGGGCAAGTAGCCTAACAGAGGCTTGGGGCATACATCAGAATCCAACATCAGGGCTGAAATAGACGCTAGATTGTTTTGTTCAAGCTGGCCTCAATTTGACCTCCTTAAAGGATCCAAGGGTTAGAGTGTTTTGAACAATTGAAGGTGCAGTTTTGTAAATCTGGCTAATCAAATCACATAGATCAAACAGGAACATTGTTTATGTCTAGTGTTTTGGGTAGGGGTTAAAAATAGCAATAGCACTTAGACTTATATACCACTTCACACAGCTTTACAGCCCTCTCTGAGCAGTTTACAGAGTCAGCATGTGGCCCCCAACAATCTGGGTCCCCATTTTACCAATCTTGGAAGGATGGAAGGCTGAGCCAACCTGGAGCCAGTCAGGATTGAACTGCTGGCAGTGGGCAGAATTAACCTGCAATACTGCATTCTAACCGCTGCACCACCATCGCACTTTGATAAGCCCTTTGAATGCTGAAATGAAGTCAATTTTTTTTTCCAGAGGTGGGAAGAAAAACTTCTCCTGATGCAGGAAATTTTGGACAACTGGTTAAAATGTCAGGCAACCTGGCTCTACCTGGAACCCATCTTCAGCTCTGAGGACATTATTGCTCAAATGCCCGAAGAAGGCCGAAAATTTGGAATAGTAGACGCTTACTGGAAGGACATCATGGCCCAAGCGGTAGGAATTTATTTGCCTTTTGCCTGCTGGTCTATGAAATCCCCATTTCAGAATTTTGTCCAGAGTCATTGCCACACCACCTTAATTTTTTTTAAAAATATATTCTATTGCTTTTTTTACAATAACAATCTCCAGGGCCTGGTGTACAGCGTGTTGTCTTGGTTTATATATCTCCATAGATGTCTTTTATCTTTGTTCTAAAATGTAGGTTAAAGACACCCGGGTCCTCATTGCTACGGAACAGCCCAAGATGTTGAACCGACTTCAAGAAGCAAATATGTTTTTGGAAGACATCCAGAAGGGCCTGAACAATTACTTAGAAAAGAAGAGATTATTTTTCCCAAGGTAGGCCTCTTCCCAGTTGGCAGGCAAAGAATACTCATTACAACCGTTGGTTGACTAAGCACAGGATCATGCATTCGTTTCCCTCAGGTGCTGTTGGCTGGGGAATTCTGGGAGTTGAAGTCCAGACGTCTTAAAGTGGCTAAGATTGGAAAATACTAAAGTAACGGGCCTGGCTCTCTGGCATCTTTATTGAACAGGTTCTTCTTCCTTTCCAACGATGAGCTGCTGGAGATTTTATCTGAAACCAAAGATCCTCTCCGCGTTCAGCC